GAGAGAGAGAGAGAGAGAGAGAGAGAGAGAGAGAGAGAGAGAGAGAGAGAGGGAGAGAGAGAGGGAGAGAGAGAGGGAGAGAGATTTTGGGAAAACAGATAGCGTTTTTTAGAGGGGTGGGTTAAGACAATGGGGACAAGAGGTTCTCAGCAAGAAAACAACGATGGACATCCTACGCTCCAAACTGACCGACTGAAAACCAAGATACATTTTATTAAAGAGAGAATATGAGAGGCAGCGTGGCGGAATCAGGCTCTCGTCCAAATAATCAAAGTGAAGAAACTCATTTTTCCGCAGGTTTGTGAATTTGTATCAAAAGTGTGTGTTTTGGCTCCACACCTTTCATGTCCATTACAGAACTCATTTCTGTGTGGATATTTCTGAAAAACATTGATTAAAGGCACAAAAAAATGTAAATTTTCAGTTACCACGGACTCTTAAGCTAAGTAATAGCTAATCCTTGGCGGCCATTTTCTCTCTAATTTTACCTCTAAAAACAGGTCGGCCCCACCTCCTTCTTTCACAAATATCTCGACTTGTATTCAAGATAAATAGATATATTTTTCAACCAAATAAAGACAAGTGAACAAGCTTTCAGATGATACTAATAACTCTACATGCCCAAACATTGACGAGAGCCTGATTCCACCACGCTGCCTCACATGGGGTGCCCACTACAGATGGGGACGGTGGGCCGGGCCGATCGCTAAAATCGGTCGCCTCAAAAACAAACATGTCGATCGCCCGTCTCGGTCGCCTGAAACTGAAAACAAACACGTTTGCTTTTCCAACAGGGAGCCAACTACGGACTGGATCGCCCGACTCGTTCCCCTCAAAAACAAATTGTTCGTTTTCAGTCTCATGCCATCGAGTCGGGCGATCGGCCGGATCCAGCCAGCCGAGTGGGCACCCCTTATAAGAGTCAGAGAACTGGCCGAAAAAGAGGACACAAAGAATTGAGAGGGAGAAAAAGAAGAGTCTAGTCTACTGAGAGGGAGAAAAAGAAGAGTCTAGTCTACTGAGAGGGAGAAAAAGAAGAGAGAGTCTAGTCTACTGAGAGGGAGAAAAAGAAGAGAGAGTCTAGTCTACTGAGAGGGAGAAAAAGAAGAGTTTAGTCTACTGAGAGGGAGAAAAAGAAGAGAGAGTTTAGTCTACTGAGAGGGAGAAAAAGAAGAGTCTAGTCTACATTGTCTACATGTAGGCTATGATTGATGTTAAATCTGGAGCTAGAAATCTAATATCTCTAGATCTATCAAAACACTCACCATGATTCTCGGCTGTCTACAACTCTTGGCCCTTGGCTGGAATGAATTCGTCGGACTTGACTGTCTGGACTGGACGTTTCGTCTTCGAGTTGAATTTTCAACACGTGTTGCACACGCCGTAGACTATCAACCTTCTCAACAGACAACTGTAAACGTTATCAGGATTATGATGAAACAGTTGGACACGTATTCCCGTTATAACAAATATCGGTCCCCAAATATCAAAGGTAGATCTATCTAGTAGCAGCAATCTCACAGCTTATCGAAGGAAAGTTACTTCAATTTATAACCACGACGGACTAATCCGTCTCAAACATCTGTTGTTAGAGAGAGAGATCTTAGTTGTGGTGGTAAGTGGTAAGAGCTCAGCTCAATGGATAAAGAGAGAGAAGTGGCGATACTGAGTTCAACGACACGACAACATTGCTCTTTATAGAGTGTGTGTGTGTCATGCGTCAAAACACAAGAGTTCAGGGGTCAACCTCGTGGCACGCACTGTTCGCGTGAGGGGCGAGAGACGGGAAACAGTGGGAGCTGGATTTGTTGGAAAAGACGAGTGAGGAGCCCGGGGAGGG